TTCCTCCATACCAGGTGTTCCGTACCCACCCTAGCATTGAAATCTCCCATGACTATGAGCTTGTCCGTCGCCATTGTTTTTTGCAGGATGGTGTCCAGAGCTCTGGAGAAATCCTCCTGAATAATGTGCTCGGCATTCAGAGTTGGTGCGTAAGCAATGCTGAGTGTGGCGAAGTGTCCCTTTGCCCCGGGAATGCGCCATGTCATCAGCCTTTCATTGATGCCGGTAGGGGATTCTGGGATGCGCTTCAGCAGTTGGGACTTCACAGCAAAGCCAACTCCATGGTTTCGACGAGCGCCTTCAGGGACCCCTTTCCAGAACCCTGCACCAACTTCTTTCAGGGAGTCCTTTCCATGTAGTCTAGTCTCGCTGAGAGCTGCGATATCGATGTTATACCTCGTGAGCTCTGTAGCCACAAGTGCTGTCCTCCGATGGGACCTGTCAGGAGTTTCAGTCAGGTCCAACAGTGTGTGGACGTTCCACGAAGCTATGCGTAGATTTTTTCTATTTCGGTTTATTGTCATTTCTACCGCAAGGGGGATGCTCCGACGATTGCGGTTTACCGTCCGGAGTGTGGAGAGCAGACAATTTTTAGACCACTTTTTCTAGGTCCCTCCCCATCACAGGGGTGAGCAGTGTGGAGCTGCTCAGTCACAATGGAAGCTGCCGAAGAGATGCGCTGCTCCATCCCGCAGTGTCAACGACCATCACTCCATTAACCATCACTCTATTGCCGCCTGTGTGCATGGTTTGGCTAGGCACTCCAAGCCACATCCTTGGCCTGTGCCCACCGCCATTCCACATCGCCACAGAACTTTGGGGGATTAGGGGAATGCAGGGTGGGGGATTGGGTGTGGGGTTGGGGCAAGAAGCTTGCGCAGAGGTTCGGATTAAGGTGAGGGTGTGGGTGCACAGTCCTCACTCCCACCATCTTCACTCCTACCAGGTAGTTTCCGGTGGCATGAGGGTCCCCATGACGACCTTCTTCTGGCAAGAGTTGCAGGGGGCTGCCGGCCGTCTTGTCTGTTGGACTCTGCCTGTGCCTGCCCCCAGGTGACGGTTTGGGATCACTCGTTGTCTGGCCTCTTCCCTTCGACCTGTTCGGCTTGGGTGACCCTGCCAGGAGTACGGGACTCCTGCCGACATAGCTCTAGGGGTCATGGAGACGCGCAGAGTGCCTCACCACGATAAGGTGGTGATCCCATCGAGGCACATTTATGTGTGTGTGTGTGTGTGTGTGTGTGTGTGTGTGTGTGTGTGTGTGTGTGTATATAAAAAACACCTTATGAAG